CATAAAAACACAGGTCCACAATATAGGTCCCCCCAAGGTGATTCTTATATAGATTTAAAAAAAAAGTCAGAAACCCTTAAACAGTACATAAGCTTTGAGTCAAGTGTTGGAAAAAGTGTTGCGGTTCATCTGCGGTTTCGCCGAGCGATATATATATATATGTCTCTCAATTACTCACGTCCACCCTCGGCTACTCCGGCGACGGCCACGACGACCCACGCCGCCAAGAGAATATCGATCATCGTCCTGCGAGACACGAAGAGCCGAGGACTGGAGCGAACTGGGATTTGGGGGGCAGACCGCGCCACGTTTTACTGGGCAGTCAAAGTCTCTCTGGGCTTGTACAGCCACCACGTGACCCAGGTTGCTCGCCAGTTAAAATCCTGGGAATGAAGACAATTAAGTCATTGATCGACTGTCCGGGGAGCACACGCCTGTATGGGAAAAGTCAGACTACTAATAATTACTAGACAGTTACTTGTAAAAGCGCAGTTCGCGGTGATAGGAAAGTTGAGAAAGACACGTTAAAAAAAACGACAAATCTGGAGACGGACTAATTAAGATTAACACGCGATTACTTATTTTTTTTAGCCCAATTTCTGCCTCGGTTTTGCGGCGCTGTCGTTTGATCCTGCAGCAGTGCACCCTGATGTATTATGGTTTGCGAAACAAACTGCACAGCACGCAACTTGCGTGCAGCGTGAGCGGTGCACCGTGCAGTTTGCGTCTTGTCGAAGTGAGAAATTATGCGTGCATAGTTTTTAGCTTTGGGCAGCTGTATTTCACCCCTCTCCCTTTCTGAGAAGGTGTCTCACTGCCCGTGGCCCACGCGTGTTTCTGCCGCGGGGCGCGAACTGTATCTGCCGCGTCAGCGAGCGAGCGCGTGTGTGTGTGTGTGTGTGTGTGTGTGTGTGTGTGTGTGTGTGTGTGTGTGTGTGTGTGTGTGTGTGTGTGTGTGTGTGTGTGTGTGTGTGTGTGTCGGCATTAAAGCATGATAAAACGCGAGTGTCTTCAATCGCTTTGAACCTTTGCTGCTGTCTAGTGACGGGGGACACTGGACTGTAAACAGGCGCCGTCCTTCGGATGAGACGTCAAACCGAGGTCCTGACCCTCTGGGCTCATTAACAATCCCGGGGTGTCTCTGGAGAAGAGTAGGGGTGTCACCCTGGTGGCCCTGGCCAAATTTCCCCCCGTGGCCCTTCCCAATCATGGCCAGCTATGAATTGTTTTCTTCCCTCTGCTCTCCTTTTAAGCTGACCCTCAGCTTCTCTCTCCCTGTCCGTGTGTCACAGCGATCTGATCCTGCTGTTCACTCGGTGGACCGGAGGCGTGAACAGTCAGGCTTGCTGCCTGCTGTGTCCTGCAGACGAGCACAGGGAAGGAATGGCGTGTCGGACCGTGAGGAGATGCACCAGCCATTGTGGTATAAAAAAAACAAATAGGTATAAATCACAATTCCCTGCAAGCTTGAAAAGGCATGACCTTGAACAAGGTAAAAGAAACAGAATGTACTGTTTTGCTCTGTAATAATTACAGCGGTAATAAAAAAATCAATACAAAACCCCCATATTTTAAGAGCTAAGCAATTTTTCAGCTTAAAGACCAGCACTTTTTGTTTGCCCATCTCAGTAAGAGCACCAGATGATGGCCTTTTGTTGCTACAAAGTGCAGATTTCCAGAACATTCCTGGAAGCCGGTGAAAACGCGATCATTTTTTCCCTAACATTTCTAGAGCTCGAAGCATTTCCGAAAGCTCAGCTGGCTTTCCCGGGGGGGCGTAACTTCTCCGAGCTTCTCCAGATGGATTAAAAACACGTGCCGTGCCGGACCGCGACACGAGATCCGGAGAGCAGGACCCCGCTGGAAACCGAACCGAATCATCCGAACCACGAACAAGCCGGACCCGGTAATCGGTTGTTCGGAACGCTAATTTCGCGAGTCCGAACTTCGTGACTTTGGCCGAGATAGAGCTGTTCGTTCTGGGCCCTAAAACATATGTGATTTAATCCTGAGTAGTTTTTTTTTTTTTTCATATTTCTTGTCGATTTCTTCAGCGCAGTAGCCGACAACAAAGCGATGTCTTTTACGCAGAACCGGGAAACGGACCTGTTCTGTTGTTCCTGATGTTTCTAGCGCTGCAGCCGGCTCGGTGGAGCGGACACAGGGACCTGCGTTGGGTCTGTGTGGTGAGATGCGTCCAGGGCGGCTGTTCCTGAGCGCACTTGTGGTCGGTTCAGAACGGGGTTGGACTTTTCCCCTCAAGAAATAACGGGAGTTTTCACTCCGATTTACGACCTCCTTCCGAACAGATTTTTCAGGAGGTCGCACACCGGAGTGTGAGAGCCCCGAGCGAGTGTTCAAAAGGCCAGGGAAAGTCTGGCCCTCCGAGGCAGAATTTGCAAAAGCAGGCGAAAGTTCATCGTTTTAATGCTAAAATTTATATATATATATCTTGTTTTTTTAAATTTGAAAGCAGACTAAGAGATGATCCCTGCTGTGGCCTACGCGTCGAATCTGAAAAATCCGGTGTCGGATTCCGTCGGTGCTTGGAGAGGTCTCACAAAAGGGCCGGTCCGATTCTCAATGAGAACCACCTGCTTAGCCGATATTCTTGGCTTTTGAGGATC